CTCCTCGGCGGAGAGCGGGTGGCCGTTGGTGGTCCACCGCAGCCCGTCCCGGTAGCCGGCCGCCCCATCCGGCGACACGCCCTGGGGAGTCATAGCATAACACTCAGGCAGGTTCAGGTTTCAGTCCGACACACAGAACCGTCCGGCGACACGCCCTGGGGGCGACACATGGGCGCGCTCAGGGCTCAGGTACAGGTCTCGCGAGATTAAGCGGTAGGTTTTGCACTTTTACATTTCCGGTTATATCTCAGAAACTAATCGATCTACGATGAAGCCATTTTACACGATCATGGCCGGCTTGTTACCCAACAAGTCGATCGCATCTTCAACACTTAAAAGCTTAAGACGACGAAGATATAGCCTGAAGTACACTAAATTTTCTAGGTGCAAAACCTAACGCTAAAACCCGCGAGCCCTGTACCATGCACAAGGGCGCCGGGTGCAGTGTCTGTGTGTCCCTGACTGACCTGCAGCGGTGACGCTGTCACAGAAAGCACCTGTTCATTGCCCAATGGATCCAGCCCAGTTCCGGCCGGCCGAGTGCCCGCACGTACGCAGCCAGTGTTACGGTCTGTGTTCGATCTATGTTACGGTCTGTGTTCAATCTATTTTACGCCCTGTGTAACGACCTGCGTTACGGCTTGTGTTACGGTCTGTGTTACATACCCTGTTCTGGGCGGTCTCCACCTTGACCCTCTTAGCGTCCCAGAGTCGGTACTGGTAGACGTGCGCGTTCTCTGCCGAGACGTCCCACAGGTGAACGAGCAGGTTCTGTAGGCCGACCAGCGTCTCAGCTGGCACCTGAGAAGGTCAGGAGAGGGTAGGGGAGGTCAGTGGTGTACTGGTGTCTGACATAGACCAGCGGACAGGGGGAGGGGAGAGGGAGAGGAGTCTGGTGGCGCAGAAGGACCGTTCCGCGCTTGAAAGTGGACATATCTGAGGAACGTTCCGCGCGCGCTGACACTGCCTCTAGAACCGTTCTGCGAGCAGTCAGACATGCAGACCGGATTGATGTTTTGAAACTTTGACATAATAAACTTTAATTAAATCGACACAGGTACTCTAACCGCATGTGTTTTTTATATCGCGGACAAAAAAGTGGGGATTGTTAGGGTTAAGCAGGGAGTCACCGATGTTAGATCCCTCTCTGGGTCCTTTCATAGGTCACGGTCCTGACCCAAGATAGCTGAGCTGTGTCGCAGCCCTGACCTCAGACAGCTGAGCTGTGCACGCCGTCGGCTCGGCCGTCAGTCGCCACAGCCGCTGACGCCAGTGTCCAAACAGCTCCAAACAATATCCGGCCCTGTATAGCAGGATAAGCCATCAGAGGCGGGAGTGATCAATGGAAGGACGCGAAACACTAACGCCAAGGGGATGACAACTGCTGAGGAATAAAGAAACTACATGAGATGATGTTTTTCGTACTCCAGCGTAGTACGAAAAACATCATCTCACGCTCTCAGTCCCAGCGGATAAAAACAACACCTAAGAAAGAAACTACATGCAGGTACACTGGGAACACGTCATGCTGGAGTTGACGTGTTCCCAGCCCGTCCCGTACCATGCAGCCCGTTCCGGTGATCACTCCCGCCTCTGATGGCTTATCCTGCTATACAGGGCCGGATATTGTTTTGAGCTATTTGGACACTGGCGTCAGCGGCTGTGGCGACTGACGGCCGAGCCGACGGCGTGCACAGCTCAGCTGTCTGAGGTCAGGGCTGCGACACAGCTCAGCTATCTCGGGTCAGGACCGTGACCCCTATGAAAAGACCCAGAGAGGGATCTAACATCGGTGACTCCCTGCTTAACCCTAACAATTCCTACTTTTTTCTCCGCGCTATAAAAAACACATGCGAGTTATAAAAAAAAACACATCCCTATCAACCAGTCCCTATCAACCAGTTACTTAATTCGACACAGGTACTCTAACCGCATGTGTTTTTTATATCGCGGACAAAAAAGTGGGGATTGTTAGGGTTAAGCAGGGAGTCACCGATGTTAGATCCCTCTCTGGGTCCTTTCATAGGTCACGGTCCAGACCCGAGATAGCTGAGCTGTGTCGCAGCCCTGACCTCAGACAGCTGAGCTGTGCACGCCGTCGGCTCGGCCGTCAGGCGCCACAGCCGCTGACGCAAGTGTCCAAACAGCTCCAAACAATATCCGGCCCTGTATAGCAGGATAAGCCATCAGAGGCGGGAGTGATCAATGGAGAGACGCGAAACACTAACGCCAAGGGGATGACAACTGCTGAGGAATAAAGAAACTACATGCAGGTACACTGGGAACACGTCATGCTGGAGTTGACATGTTCCCAGCCCGTCCTGTACCATGCAGCCCGTTCCGGTGATCACTCCCGCCTCTGATGGCTTATCCTGCTATACAGGGCCGGATATTGTTTGGAGCTGTTTGGACACTGGCGTCAGCGGCTGTGGCCACTGACGGCCGAGCCGACGGCGTGCACAGCTCAGCTGTCTGAGGTCAGGGCTGCGACACAGCTCAGCTATCTCGGGTCAGGACCGTGACCCCCTATGAAAAGACCCAGAGAGGGATCTAACATCGGTGAGTCCCTGCTTAACCCTAACAATCCCTACTTTCTTCTCCGCGCTATAGAAAAACACATGCGAGTTATAAAAAACACATCCCTATCAACCAGTCCCAAACAGTGTACCAAATTTGAGCGCAATCGGCGTGGCAGTTCAGGGTTCAAGATATATGAGCAACCCAAAATCGCTACTGCAGCAGAATAACGAACACTCTTGGCCCTTCACGTCGCACGTGTCACGACGCTCACCATGATACATCAGTTGTAGTTAATAACTCACCAAGATACATCAGTTGTAGTCAATAACGAGATGGAAGGGATAGGATTACGCGCAACAAAGAGTAACGCAGGTCAATCAGCCCAGCGGTTGCTGACTTACAAGCCTATTAAAAACGTTACAGGAATACGCTTCGCTAGCTCAAACGTAATAGAGTAGAATCATTACATATATGCAATTGCTACTATTTCCTGGTTTTCTTTATAGGCCAAGGCTTGGTAACTGATAACTCTGCTGCCCTGTAATGGGTCCGGCCCGCTGTGGCGAGTGAAGACACTCGCTCTGACTGACTGGACCGCCAGCCGAGACGCTGCTGACTCTGGTGGTGAATGGTGAGCGGAAGAGGAGAAAGTTTACGCCAAAGCTGAAGCAACTCTACATTGCTGTACAGCTAATACGCTTTTCACCTGGTGGCCAGTAGAGGAACTAACAGTTACTACAACTGACCGTCAGAAGCACCCAACACACACCGTGCCGCTCCCAGTAACATACCAAGATGTAGACCCCAGTCGGGCAGCGCTCCGGCGTCCGGCAGCCGCAGCTGGTCCAGCAGTGACAGCAGCCGGCCGGCGCTGCCCTCCGGCGCCGTCCGACAGGCGTTCACGGCCACCACCCTGACGGACAGACGTTACACGGTCAGCAGAGAGCCGACACTCGGTCAGCGGATGTTGTGTTATGGTCCAACCCCCGCACGGCTGCTGGCCGCGCCTGCGCGCGCCCCTGCCGCCGCCACCGCTGGCCGCCCCGGCTACATGCCTGTGAGCGCCTCTGCCGCCGCCAGCTGACTGCGCGCCGAGCGGCAGAGCTGGCGCGGGCGACGAGGCGCGGCGCTCGCCATACTTGTTATCTTTTTGGACTCTTTCGGCCTGAACGTATCGCAGTAAATAAATCGCGTTTTTCATTGATCGTGTGCTCTTTCACTCAAACGAACCAAAACATAACATGGCGCGGTCGATTTTGTAATTACGTGACTGAGCAGCTTACAGCGCGATGAAGAAAATTTTGATTCAAGAACTGACGGCGCTGCTGGAGAGGCAGGCGGAGAGAGCCGCCGAGGCCGACAAGCGCCTGGAGCGTTTGGAGAGGCTGCTGTACAGAGAGCCCTCCGCGGGGACCGGGACGGGCACGACGGCCGGAGTGTCAGAGTCGGGGGCTGAGCGAGGCGCTGAGGGATCCGTTGGACCAGCTGCCGCCGCCCGCCGGACTGTCTGCCTGCCGGCGTCGGCGACTCCGGCCCCGCACCTGAAGTCGGCCTCGACGTGCAAAGCCCGTGTCGAGTGCAGTGTGCGCGACAGTGAGACAGGAGCGGTGAGCAGGCTGGAGGACTCTGAGCCGACGCTCAGACACGCCGTGACAGTGAGGGAAACGTGGAGTGCCCATGTCACGTGCCAAGACCTCTGCGGCACCAAGGGACATTTCGTGGCCCACCTGCCGGCCTACAAGAGGGACCGAAGGCGGCCGAGTGTCGCCCATGCCGCCGCCGAAACATCTCGTCAGTTTCTTGAGCGTTGCCCTACCTGTGGTCGTCGCCAGCACGCCGGCGGAGACACGTGTCGCGCCGCTGGCGCCATCTGTCGTGCGTGTGGCGAACCAGGACATTTTGAGGTGGTGTGCCACCAGAGGGCCAGCACCACAGCGGTGGTGCCATCTGCAGTGACAACAGTACGCGACTCTCCGGGGGTGGCGCTAGTAGCGGTAGCCGCCGGCACCGCCGTGTCACCGCCGCCGGCGGACACGGGCCCAGCCGGGCACACTGCGCTGCAGCCCACGGGGCTGAGTGACGCTGCTGACGTCCACGGAGCCTCGCCGCCGCCGGCGGGGGGCTGGCCAACGCAGACAACGGACAGCAATGAAGCCCCGGACAACGCCGTGTCACCGCCGCCGGCGGACACGGGCCGAATCGGATGTGCTGCGGAGCAGCCCACAGAGCCGGACGGAGCTACGGGCGCCTACGGAGCCTCGCCGCCGCCGGCGGGAGGCATTCCAACGTGCAGCACGGACGGAGTGTACGGAGCCTCGCCGCCGCCGGCGGGAGGCCAATCGGTTGCCACCGGCGCCGCCGTGTCGGTGCCGCCGGCAGACACGGGCCGAGGAGCCGGCCGTACCGCGGCGCAGCCCACCGAGCCGGCTGGCGCGCGCGGAGCCTGCCCGCCGCCGGCGGGAGGCTGGCCAGCACAGACCATGGAGGCAGCCCCCGGCGTGTCACCGCCGCAGGCGGACACGGACCGAGCTGGATGTACCACGGCGCAGCCTACAGAGCCGGCTGACGCCCACGGAGCTTCGTCGTCGCCGACGGGAAGCCTTCCAACGCGGACCAGCCATGGAAACGAAGCCGCTGGTGACGCCGTGTTGCCGCCGCCGGCGGACACGGGCCAACCCGGGGCCACTGCGGTGCAGCCTGCAGGCCCGGATGCAGCGGCTGTAGCTTACGGAGCCTCGTCGCCGCCGGCGGGAGGCCTACAAACACTGAGCACGGGCCGATGTGCAGCTGCCGGCCCCGCCGTGTCACCGCCGCCGGCGGACACTGGCCAGATTGGGTGCACCGCAGCGCAGTCTACCAGGCCGGCTGCCGCCTACGGAGCCTCGCCGCCGCCGGCGGGAGGCCTACCCACGCGGACCAGGGACGGAGGTACAGCCGCCGGCTACGCCGTGTCGCCGCTGCCGGGGGACACCAGCCAAGCCGACTGTTGTGCGGCACAGCCCATCGAGCTGAGTGAGACTACTGATGTCTACGGAGCCTCGCCGCCGCCGGCGGGAGGCATGCCAACTCGAAACACGGATGGAGGCCCAGCCGCCAGCACCGCCGAGTCGCCGCCGCCGGCGGGCACCGGCCAAGCCGGCTGTAGTCATGCGGCGCAGCCTACCGAGCTGGCTGACGCCTACGGAGCCTCGCCGCCGCCGGCGGGAGGCCTGCCAGTACGGAGTGGGGACGGAGACCCGCCCGCACAAATGGTGGCGGCTCACGCCGCCGCGCTCCTCCGTACGCCGCAGGGATGCGTGTCCGCCGGTGACAAGTCCGATCGGCGCGGTGACACGAACCTCGGTGACACCACCCTCCACTCGGTCGAGGTGGTGGATGAGGACCCGCTTCACGCAGCTGTCGTCGCAGCTATGCTCGCTGAGCGGGATACGGAGTGCGACTCGCGTCTGCCGCCGCTCGTGGCCCCGAGTCCAGGGGTGACCAGAGCCGCCGCTGACCGCGACCCGTGGCCGCCACCGACACCGGAGCGACGCCTGCCGCGGACCTCCCCGTGCGACGGCGGGCGCGTCCGCTGCAAGAAGCGCCCGAGACGCCGCGGAAGAGAGCGCAGGCGCCGCCGTTTGCACCGCGCTGCGGTGGCCTTGTGCGCCCGGACCCCGGAGGGTCCGCTGTGGCGCTTTGGAATGAAGACGATGTGATCGTCTTGGGGGGGAGGTGTTGTGTTATGGTCCAACCCCCGCACGGCTGCTGGCCGCGCCTGCGCGCGCCCCTGCCGCCGCCACCGCTGGCCGCCCCGGCTACATGCCTGTGAGCGCCTCTGCCGCCGCCAGCTGACTGCGCGCCGAGCGGCAGAGCTGGCGCGGGCGACGAGGCGCGGCGCTCGCCATACTTGTTATCTTTTTGGACTCTTTCGGCCTGAACGTATCGCAGTAAATAAATCGCGTTTTTCATTGATCGTGTGCTCTTTCACTCAAACGAACCAAAACATAACAGCGGACAGTGGCGTTGGGTCACCGGATGGCAGAGCATCGCCGCAGCACACAGACCAGACAGGACTGTGCCGACAACGCAACCCCGTTGGAGTAACATGACCCTAATATATGCACCGAAAATGCTCTGGTCTATCTCCATTATTTATAATAATAAAAAAATGAAAGAACAACTGAGATGAGGGAAAGGAGTGAGGCGTCTGTTAGGGTCCCCGTGCAATACGCCCGGTGCGGTGACTGACCTCTGCGCCGCTAGCTGGAGAGCTGGTTCACCCGGCTGACGACCTTCTGTACCTCCTCGGCGGAGAGCGGGTGGCCGTTGGTGGCCCGCCGCAGCCCGTCCCGGTAGCCGGCCGCCCCATCCGGCGACACGCCCTGGGGAGTCATAGCATAACACTCAGGCAGGTTCAGGTTTCAGTCCGACACACAGAACCGTCCGGCGACACGCCCTGGGGGCGACACATGGGCGCGCTCAGGGCTCAGGTACAGGTCTCGCGAGATTAAGCGGTAGGTTTTGCACTTTTACATTTCCGGTTATATCTCAGAAACTAATCGATCTACGATGAAGCCATTTTACACGATCATGGCCGGCTTATTACCCAACAAGTCGATCGCATCTTCAACACTTAAAAGCTTAAGACGACGAAGATATAACCTGAAGTACACTAAATTTTCTAGGTGCAAAACCTACCGCTAAAACCCGCGAGCCCTGTACCATGCAATTGCACAAGGGCGCCGGGTGCAGTGTCTGTGTGTCCCTGACTGACCTGCAGCGGTGACGCTGTCACAGAAAGCACCTGTTCATTGCCCAATGGATCCAGCCCAGTTCCGGCCGGCCGAGTGCCCGCACGTACGCAGCCAGTGTTACGGTCTGTGTTCGATCTATGTTACGGTCTGTGTTCAATCTATTTTACGCCCTGTGTAACGACCTGCGTTACGGCTTGTGTTACGGTCTGTGTTACATACCCTGTTCTGGGCGGTCTCCACCTTGACCCTCTTAGCGTCCCAGAGTCGGTACTGGTAGACGTGCGCGTTCTCTGCCGAGACGTCCCACAGGTGAACGAGCAGGTTCTGTAGGCCGACCAGCGTCTCAGCTGGCACCTGAGAAGGTCAGGAGAGGGTAGGGGAGGTCAGTGGTGTACTGGTGTCTGACATAGACCAGCGGACAGGGGGAGGGGAGAGGGAGAGGAGTCTGGTGGCGCAGAAGGACCGTTCCGCGCTTGAAAGTGGACATATCTGAGGACCGTTCCGCGCGCGCTGACACTGCCTCTAGAACCGTTCTGCGAGCAGTCAGACATGCAGACCGGATTGATGTTTTGAAACTTTGACATAATAAACTTTAATTAATTCGACACAGGTACTCTTACCGCATGTGTTTTTTTTTATATCGCGGACAAAAAAGTGGGGATTGTTAGGGTTAACCCGCGCCCCGTAGGGGGGGGGGCCGAAACGGCCCCCCCTGTCCTTTTCGGTCGATATCTCCTAAACGGCTGGAGATATCGCCACCAAACTTTCAGGACCCCTCCGGGCATCAATTTTACACATTGTGACCAAAATTTTTTCTAGAGGCTATGATAGGTTGGCCACAAATGACTTCAGAGTGACGTCATGTTCTGTCATTTTCGACCGAAAAAAGACCTTCGCGAGAAGACCTGTCAGGACTACAGCTTTGAAGATATAGAAAAATGATCAAGACATAAAAGGTGTAGAATTGACAGGGCTACAAAACTGCTGTCTCGAATTTTTGAAATTTTTGAATTTTGACCCCCAAAAATCAAAAAAGCATTTTTTTGGATATATTCGCCAAAAAATCCAAAAAGTTTTTGAGTTTCGAAAAACCGGAATATATGTGATAGTGCCTACCATCTTCTATCTACATACCAAATTTCAGATCGATACCTCGTTTATTGGCCAAGTTATAGCGAAAAAACTGTTCAAAAATGATGACGTCAAATTTTCAAACTCAATTTTTGGCAATTCTAGAACTTGTAGAGCAAAACGAAGACCACCATTAGACTCCCCGTGACGAGCTGCATCGAATCGATACCCATTTTATGCAAAAATATCAACTTTGAAATTTGACCTAATTTGACCTGACCTTGACCTGACCTTCACAAAAACGTGACCTAGGCTGGCCCCAAAGGCTGCCTAACCCACATAATCGCATTTGTCATGTAAAATGGACCATAAAACATGTATCACACGACACATTCATATTGTGACCCCCGGTGACCTGACCTCGCTGTGACCTGACCTGGTATCAGTGACCTCAGATAGCAAAGTATGTGTTTGACGAACAATGTACCATCGATGGTTTTCAATAAATTACCAATTTACTCGCTTTCACAGCACATTTCTTGAATTGCCTGTGAGCGGTGAAAATCTGACCTTTGACCCGACCTGTGACGTCATCGGTTTGACCTAGGTCAATGAAATTCGGTCACAAGGTAGTTCCCGGGTGGGGCTATCGAACGCCGTTTGAATTTTGAAAATCAGCCGGTAACTTTCCGAGATCTTAGGGGGGCCGAAACGCCCCCCCCCCCCTACGGGTGGTAGGGTCCGCCGGTAGCCCTACGGGGCGCGGGTTAAGCAGGGAGTCACCGATGTTAGATCCCTCTCTGGGTCCTTTCATAGGTCACGGTCCTGACCCGAGATAGCTGAGCTGTGTCGCAGCCCTGACCTCAGGGCTCAGACAGCTGAGCTGTGCACGCCGTCGGCTCGGCCGTCAGTCGCCACAGCCGCTGACGCCAGTGTCCAAACAGCTCCAAACAATATCCGGCCCTGTATAGCAGGATAAGCCATCAGAGGCGGGAGTGATCAATGGAGGGACGCGAAACACTAACGCCAAGGGGATGACAACTGCTGAGGAATAAAGAAACTACATGCAGGTACACTGGGAACACGTCATGCTGGAGTTGACGTGTTCCCAGCCCATCCTGTACCATGCAGCCCGTTCCGGTGATCACTCCCGCAGGGCCGGATATTGTTGGGAGCTGTTTGGACACTGGCGTCAGCGGCTGTGGCGACTGACGGCCGAGCCGATGGCGTGCACAGCTCAGCTGTCTGAGGTCAGGGCTGCGACACAGCTCAGCTATCTCGGGTCAGGACCGTGACCCCCTATGAAAAGACCCAGAGAGGGATCTAACATCGGTGAGTCCCTGCTTAACCCTAACAATCCCTACTTTTTTCTCCGCGCTATAAAAAAACACATGCGAGTTATAAAAAACACATCCCTATCAACCAGTCCCAAACAGTGTACCAAATTTGAGCGCAATCGGCGTGGCAGTTCAGGGTTCAAGATATATGAGCAACCCAAAATCGCTACTGCAGCAGAATAACGAACACTCTTGGCCCTTCACGTCGCACGTGTCACGACGCTCACCATGATACATCAGTTGTAGTCAATAACTCACCAAGATACATCAGTTGTAGTCAATAACGAGATGGAAGGGATAGGATTACGCGCAACAAAGAGTAACACAGGTCAATCAGCCCAGCGGTTGCTGACTTACAAGCCTATTAAAAACGTTACAGGAATACGCTTCGCTAGCTCAAACGTAATAGAGTAGAATCATTACATATATGCAATTGCTACTATTTCCTGGTTTTCTTTATAGGCCAAGACTTGGTAACTGATAACTCTGCTGCCCTGTAATGGGTCCGGCCCGCTGTGGCGAGTGAAGACACTCGCTCTGACTGACTGGACCGCCAGCCGAGACGCTGCTGACTCTGGTGGTGAATGGTGAGCGGAAGAGGAGAAAGTTTACGCCAAAGCTGAAGCAACTCTACATTGCCGTACAGCTAATACGCTTTTCACCTGTTGGCCAGTAGAGGAACTAACAGTTACTACAACTGACCGTCAGAAGCACCCAACACACACCGTGCCGCTCCCAGTAACATACCAGGATGTAGACCCCAGTCGGGCAGCGCTCCGGCGTCCGGCAGCCGCAGCTGGTCCAGCAGTGACAGCAGCCGGCCGGCGCTGCCCTCCGGCGCCGTCCGACAGGCGTTCACGGCCACCACCCTGACGGACAGACGTTACACGGTCAGCAGAGAGCCGACACTCGGTCAGCGGACAGTGGCGTTGGGTCACCGGATGGCAGAGCATCGCCGCAGCACACAGACCAGACAGGACTGTGCCGACAATTCATGTAAAGAACGTTTACATGAATAGCCGTTCACTAAACCTCAAGAAGAAGAAGAAGGTACTGTGGTCAGTGTACATGAGAACGCAAGACCCCATCGACTATAGCAGATATAAGATTTGCAGAAATAAGCTTAGGACATTGACTCGCCAGTTAAGGAAAGATTTTGAAGCTAAGATATCAGCAAACATGAAAGAAAACCCGAAGGCTTTTTGGAAATATGTGAACAGCCGCCGTAAAGTTAAATCAAGTATTGGTGATCTAAGAAACGACCAGGGCCAGCTTGTTAGCGAGGAAAAAGAGAAGGCCTCGCTCCTGAATGACGTCTTCTCAGGCGCATTCACTATTGAAAAAACGGATGTCGTGCCACAACTAGCAAACCGTTACACAGGGCCGCCGCTGATCGATATACCAGTCAACCTTTTCGCAGTGAAGCAAAAGCTTAAAGCACTGAACCCCAATAGTGCCCCAGGAGCTGATGACATTCACCCCCGCATTTTAAGGGAATTGAGTGGTCCTCTCTCCCTTCCCTTGACCTTACTGTTCCGAAAATCGCTTGAAACT